ATGCAGTACTGTCACTCTGCCATGCAGGACTGTCACTCTGCCATGCAGTACTGTCACTCTGCCATGCAGTACTGTTACTCTGCCACCATGCAGTACTGTTACTCTGCCGTGCAGTACTGTTACTCTGTCGTGCAGTACTGTTACTCTGCCACCATGCAGTACTGTTACTCTGCCACCATGCAGTACTGTTACTCTGCCGTGCAGTACTGTTACTCTGCCATGCAGGACTGTCACTCTGCCATGCAGGACTGTTACTCTGCGATGACAGGAAAATAAAAATATTTACTTGTGAAATTCACATACATGTACAACTGAAACTGTTACTCTGCCATGCAGTACTGTTACTCTGCCATGCAGTACTGTTACTCTGCCATGCAGGACTGTTACTCTGCCATGCAGTACTGTCACTCTGCCATGCAGGACTGTCACTCTGCGATGACAGGAAAATAAAAATATTTACTTGTGAAATTCACATACATGTACAACTGAAACTGTTACTCTGCCATGCAGTACTGTCACTCTGCCATGCAGGACTGTCACTCTGCCATGCAGTACTGTTACTCTGCCATGCAGGACTGTTACTCTGCCGTGCAGTACTGTTACTCTGCCATGCAGTACTGTCACTCTGCCATGCAGGACTGTTACTCTGCGATGACAGGAAAATAAAAATATTTACTTGTGAAATTCACATACATGTACAACTGAAACTGTTACTCTGCCATGCAGTACTGTTACTCTGCCATGCAGTACTGTTACTCTGCCATGCAGGACTGTTACTCTGCCATGCAGTACTGTCACTCTGCCATGCAGGACTGTCACTCTGCGATGACAGGAAAATAAAAATATTTACTTGTGAAATTCACATACATGTACAACTGAAACTGTTACTCTGCCATGCAGTACTGTCACTCTGCCATGCAGGACTGTCACTCTGCCATGCAGTACTGTTACTCTGCCATGCAGGACTGTTACTCTGCCGTGCAGTACTGTTACTCTGCCATGCAGTACTGTCACTCTGCCATGCAGTACTGTTACTCTGCCATGCAGTACTGCTACTCTGCCGTGCAGTACTGTCACTCTGCCGTGCAGTACTGTCACTCTGCCATGCAGTACTGTCACTCTGCCATGCAGGACTGTCACTCTGCCATGCAGGACTGTTACTCTGCGATGACAGGAAAATAAAAATATTTACTTGTGAAATTCACATACATGTACAACTGAAACTGTTACTCTGCCATGCAGGACTGTTACTCTGCCATGCAGTACTGTCACTCTGCCATGCAGGACTGTCACTCTGCCATGCAGTACTGTTACTCTGCCGTGCAGGACTGTTACTCTGCCATGTAGTACTGTTACTCTGCCATGCAGGACTGTTACTCTGCCATGCAGT